AGAGAGAGAGAGAGAGATGAAGAGTGCTCGAGTCTGTCAAGAGGAAGGGGTATGAAGGGATAAAGGAGGAGGGTGTCCGAGGGCAGACTGGAACGAATTCACAGCTCGAGTCCCGTTTGCCCGAATTCGGTCCGAGACCGTCGGACGGGAGGCGCGACTACGACCGAGAAGCGAGCAGTTCGGTTAAGAAGACAGGTTTGCCCACAAACTGAAAGTGGTGCTTTTCGTGTCGACCAGGTACCACCGGCTCCGGTGGTGACATTCTGCCGGGAGGTGGATCTTTCCGTGCTCAAAGGAGGCAGCATAAAAGTGGGAAATTTTTCATTTTATCAGTCGGTCTTGGGTGATTTCTATTTGAAATCCGACCAGTGGGATTCACCATACCCTTTAATTACCATTGACCCTCTCCACCACGGGCTTCTTCTGCCCTCGCCCAGATCTCACCAGCACCCAAAACAGGATTCGATTACGGGTCGTGGACAATTTGACGACTTTCAAAACCGCATTTCATGCTGGAAATGTATGTTCGTTTCCAAGTTGGTCGTCGAGACTACCAATTTATCTTGTATATGAGAGCAGTAATCCTCCTATTCCATATGCGATGAAGACTGTTAGTTGAATTTTTTCTTGTGTTCACACGGAATTTCACATCGTTCTGATCACAAGATGGTACTCTCATCCAACGTGAAGTGGGCTGTAGTTTCAATCTCGCCTGAACTGGTCTATGCAGCACAATCGGCGGGTCTCGAACCCGGCATATGTTTGTACTTCATGTAGCCTGACTGTGCCGAGGGTCCTTGGGTTGCAGAGCAGAAGTGAATTGCAAAGAAGGCCAGGCCTTTCTAATCTGATATTGTGGGATTGTCGATTGGGTAAAGTTGTATTTGCTATTGCAATCCAATAGACTACTTATTTTCCGTTTATAAGTAGGTTTAAAAACTAATAGTAGACATTAAATAAAAACAGTGTGGTTGATTGAATTTTCCCACATTCAATTGAATAGGCTTCAAGTTTCCATGAAAGTTGGCATGGCCCTATTTAATATCTACGAGTAGCCTAGACAGCCTACTTAAATAACACAAATAAGTAATGCATTCTATTGATATAGCAAATTCAACTTTTCTTCATCGGCAATCCCACAAAAAAAGCTTTTTATGAGAAAGTCTTGGTCTTCTTACATAATTCACACTCATCCTGTGACACCAAGGCACTCGTGGCAGTGGTTAACGCGTCAGGAATATACGTAACCTTACCACGACCTGGGTTCGAGTCCCGCCGGGAGTGCTGACAAGACCGAGGCAATTCAGTCCGGCTAATGACACGAAAGTTGGGTTGGCCCAATTCTCACTAAACATGTATTTGTCGTTGTGGTTACGGTAATTATGCTTCCGCGGATA